GTACTGTACGTGACCTCTAAACAGTAAAGGACAATCACACTGTACATGAGCACTAAACAGTAAAGGACAATCACACTGTACATGATCACTAAACAGTAAAGGACAATCACACTGTACACGAGCACTAAACAGTAAAGGACAATCACACAATACGAAGCACTAAACAGTAAAGGACAATCATACTGTACATGAGCACTAAACAGTAAAGGTCAATCGTACTGTACATGATTACTAAACAGTAAAGGACAATCACATGATACGAAGCACTAAACAGTAAAGGACAATTGTAATATATGTAAGTAATAACCTGGTATGGGAGTATAGGGACAAGTGAAATCAAAGTGGGAGGATTGAAAAAACTACAATCATATATAAATATTTCCTTATCATGGACACTTTTCCCCTTGTTAATATGCAAATCATAAGGTTAATTTTACTTTTTAAGCCACTTATATTCAGTTCCAAGTTCTTTAAAATTATGTTTTACTGCTCACTGTGTAAACCTAATCAATACTGACACAAAATGTTATTTGTAGGTGTTGACAACTGACGTTGTGAGTGTGCAAAAAAGAGAAACTAGTGTAAGAGTAACAAATGGTCAACATTTTGATTTCTGTATATCAAGCTCTTGGGAAATTCAAATCATACAAAACACCCAACAATGGGGGGAATCTACCTGGCTTGGGGGAAGGGGATTCACATCAATCACACAAAAAAGACTACTAACTCTTACTGTACACTCACCTCTGTCACCGTGCCTACAGCAACTGTCGCTCCTCTGTAACACAATATAAACCATCCCAGTTCTTTACAGTCTTTATAACACTCCAAACATACTGGTCTGTTTAATAACATTTCAACAAGAGCACAGGTGTTCGGGGTCAAACACCTGAAATATAGCCAGACGTAAAACTTTTTCATTAAGTGAATACTTCACATCAACTTTTATCGTCAGCTGATGTCAATGGCATTTCTTATGAACAAAACTACATTTCAAATAATCATTATCTTAGAAATGTAGTTAATGTTAATAACTCATACTTAACAACAATAATTACTTAGTTTAATAACTATTATAAGTTTTCAAATATATATTTTACTAATTCCTGGGTGAGGAAAAGACTGATATTTAAAACCATGTGAAGAAGTACAAAGGT